TAGAAAAACAAACAACAAAATGATAGCCCCAAATCCAACTACATCAATAATTACAGTAAACATAATTGGACTAACAATCCCAAATAAAAGGCAGAAATTGAAGAAAGGATTTTTTAAAAAAAATCAAGACCAACTGTATGCCATCCACAGGAGCTACACTTCATATATATATGTTGAATGTAAACGGTTAGAAAAAGACACACTATGCAAACAGCGTAAGTATGTGGAGGGCTATCAGATAAAACAGATTTTAAGACAGAGTTATCATGAGAAATAAGACATTTCCTAATGATAATAGGGTCAATTTATCAGAAAAACATATCAAATATGGAGCTCCCCCCATATAACAGAGCCTCAAAAGCACATAAAGCTGGAACACTGTTCGCCAATAAAAAGAAATGAACTACTGATGCACGGTACACCACCAACGAACTTCAAAAATGTTATGCAAGCAAAAGCCGCCAGACAGAAAAGACCACATGTTGCATGATTCCATTTATAGGACCATGCAGAAAAGGCAAGTCTCTAAAGACAGAAAGCAGATTAGCAGTGACCTGGAACTGCGAACAGGAATTAACTGCCAGATACAAGGGATCTTCTTACTGGTGTGACAGAAATGTTCTAAGACTGGGTTATGGTGATCACCGCACAACTCAGCAAATTACTAAAATCACTAAATGGATAAATTTCATGGTATATCAATTATACCTCAACGAAGTTGTTTTTAAAAAGTCAAAAAGTACATGAGGCAAAACTGACAGGATTGGAAGGAGAAATAGGACAATCGCACGCAGAGATTTTGACATCCCTCTCTCAGCAACTAATAGAAAAGCTGGGGGGGGCGGTGGTCAACAGACCTAAAAGATCTGAGTAACTTTATCAACCAGCACACTTAACTGACGGTTACAGAATACTGCACCCAAGGACTGACAAATATACATTCTTTTCAACTCAGTAGTTCTCAACCGGAGAAATTTTGCTACCAGGGGGCATTTGGCAATGTCTGGAGACATTTTTCATTGTTGTATCCTGGGAGCTGCTACTGGCACTGGGTGAGAAGAGGCCAAGTCTGCTAAGTAAACATTCTCTAATGCACAAGGCTGCCCCCACGACAGGGAATTCTCTGATCCAAAATGGCAATAGTTTCAAGGCTGAGGGATCCCGTTTTCAAGTACAGACGGTGCATTTAACGGGAGAGACCATATACGTTAGGGGATTAAAACATACCTCGATAAATTTAAAATGACTGGAATCATAAAGAATATATTCCCTAGCCATAATGAATTAGAAACCAATACCTTTAGGATATGTAGGAAAATACCAAGTATTTGGATTTTAAGCAACATACTTCTAATTAATGCATGGATCGATGAAAAAAAACCACAAGGGAAATGAGGAAATATTTTGAACTAATGGCAAAGAAAACATAGTAGCAAAATTGTGGGATGCCAGGCATGGTGGCTCACACCTGTAATCCCTGCTTCTTGGGAGGGAGGGTGAGGTGGGAGGATCACTTGAGCCCAAGGAGTTTGAGACCAGCCTGGGCAACATAGCAAGACCCCATCTCTTAAAAAAAATTTTTAAATTT